CGCCTTCCTGCTGTCGTGCCTGCTCTTCGCGGCGGTCAACCGGCACCAGCGCGGGCCCTACATGGACGAGGCCTTCCACGTCCCCCAGGCGCAGGCCTACTGCCGCGGCCGCTTCCTCCAGGTGGCTCGCGGGGGCCGGTCAGGGTCGGCGATTTCTATAGACGTGCCGTGGGCGCTTTGGAAAGGGAATCGTTTGTGGGCATTGCTGTCCACAACGCCGGTGTCTGCTTACTGGGGGTGCAGTAGCGCGCCGGGCAGGGTACAAAGTGTTCACAATTTTCAGTCTAATAATGACAGAAGTTGGCTGAGCATCCAAGCTAACAAAATGGGGTGCGGGTGGGGGTGGTATATCGTAACCCGTCGCACATCTCTGGTCCTTTTTTTTGCCTGGCAGTGCCTCTGTGACCCTGTTTCTCCGCTTTCCAGTGGGACCCCATGATCACCACGCTGCCAGGCTTGTACCTGGTCTCGGTGGGAGTAGTGAAGCCCGCAGTGTGGCTCTTCGGGTGGACGGGAAGCGTGGTGTGCTCTGTCGGAATGCTCAGGTTTATTAACCTCCTCTTCAGTGCTGGGAACTTCTATTTACTCTATTTACTTCTGTTCAAGATCCATCAGAAGAATAAGGTATGGTCAAAGTAGAATAATTTTATGCGCTTGTACAAGCGATTTTGATGGCTCTGTGTCTGTTTGCTTCCTTACGTGTGTGAGCTGTCCTCAGTTTTACGTAACTGCAAGTACTATTACTAGTTTGGCCAAGGAGGCACATTCCTTTTTTCTAAACTTTTTAAATATCTTTTTTTTTCTCTCTCAGGGTGTAATCCTGTGAAAATTAACTATTGTGCATAACTATAAGTACTGCTATTGAAAGAAAAGTTAAAGTTAGTACACATATAGACTTACTATCCAAAGGTCTGAATGCTCATCTAGTTGGAGTTGCTTAAGACAAGTGAATCCTGAGTGAAGCCCTGTGAGTTGCGTTCTTTAGAAAGTTAGCAGGTTTGATGTCAATATTTAAAACCAGAGAATAATTCAAGTGTGAAAGAGTTGGAGAATGGCTGAGGTTGGAAGGGGCCTTAGGAGGCCCACCCTCCAGCTCAGAGCAGGCCAGCCCTGAGATCAGACCACACTGCTCAGTGTTGGGGCCTGGAAAACTCCAAGGATGGAGGGTGACTGCACAACCTCTCTGGGCAACCTGCTCCGTGCCTGACCATCTTTCGGTGAAGAAGGTTTTTCTTCCATGCAGTCTGAGCCTCTCACTTCAGTTCATGACTGTTGTCTCTTGTCCTTCCACTGTGTACCCCTGTGAGGAACCTGGCTCCCTTTACCTGTTGACATCCTCACAGGCTGCTGTTTGGTCCCCCCAAGCCGCATCTTTTCCAGGCTGAACAAGGCCTCTACTCTCAGGGCAGGTGCTTCAGCCCCCAACTGTCTTGGCCCTCTGCCATTGCTCCAGTTTACTAGTGCCTTTTTTGTATCACAGGGCACAAAATTGGACGTGGTATTCTAGGTGCAGCCTAACAAATAGAGTCAAGAGGGATAATCATTTCCCTTGGTCTGCTGCTGTGCTCTTGTTAATGCAGCCCAGGAAGCTGTTGCTGTTCCTTCATGCCAGGGCATGCTGCTGGCTCATGTTCACCTCGCTATCTGCCAAGACCCCCAAGTCCCTTTCCACAGAGCAGCAACTCCTCAGCTACTTCATGCCCAGCCTGTATCATTGTGGGAATTTCTTCCTATCCAGGTGCAGGCATTTGCATTTGCCCCTGTTGAATTTCATAGTATTTCTGTTGCCCCATTCCTCCAGCCTGTCTAGGTCACGCTGGATGGCAGCTCTGCTCTTTAGTGTGTTGCCCAATCCCCCCAGTTTTGTGTCATGCGCAGACTTGATGAGAGTGTACTCTCGCTGCCTTCAAGTCATCGATAAAGATGTTGAACAGGACAGTTCCCAGTATGGATCCCTGTGATACTCTGGTTGTTACACTCACCTTTGGATGGAGTGTGACCAGTTCACCGTCCAGCCAGTTTTTACCTGTCAGGCTGTCCACCCGTCCAGACCATAACAGTTCAACTTGGATACAAGAATATTGTACGTTTAAAGTGGTGGAGTATCCACCACTGCAGTAGATAAATAGTTCCAGTGGTTAATGGCCTATTCAAAATCTTTCACCTTAGTGAAGTTCTTTAGTTTCACTTTTAACTGTAGGAACATTTTTCCTTGTTCCCCGATACCTGAAGGATTCCTTTACTAGAAAAGAAAGAAATTTTTTTCTGATGTATTTTCTTACAGGAGACTCTTCACGTTTAAGCACATGATAAGACTATATAGAATTGGGTCAAAGTCAATAAATTGTTTCCACTTTCAGAACACACTTAATTTTATGCTTGGAGGTGGAAATACAAATGTAAGAAAACAAAAGGTTTCATGACAGTAGTCTAAGCATTAGAAAATGCAGTTGTATTGTCGGCAGTTCTATGAACTCTGTGTTTTCTGTATTCCTCTCTTCTGCACGGTGGTGACTGGCTATTTCACCCCATGCTACATCATTGAGAAACATCATGCAACATTTTTTAATGTCGTGAATTGCATTGCATCATGTAGCAAGTGGGATAATTGGGAGGAGTTTGTAACTGCATGGTCTTCTACCTTCTTTAAAGTATCTTTTCTAACTCATGAATTATAATGAAGATAAATAATAAAACTGCACCAAAAATTAGAAACTTGGAACTGTCCACTCTGTGGACTGGCTTCAAAAGAGGCAGTAGTATAAGCATAGAATGATGTGTTCTGCTGTCTCACAAATAAACAGAATGTGATGATGAGATTGCAGGGGCATAAAACATAGATTTTTTATTTTTTTTTTCTTTTCTTTTGCCCATTAGTGCAGCTCTTTTAGCCTATGTATGGGAGCAGTTATACTCCCACAATGATTTTTAATGCCACAAATATGTGAACACCTGACATACAAAAGAAGTTGGTGTATTTTCATTGCCATATTTTTAACTCACATGCAGTAGTGTTCCGTACTTTCATTTGTCTTTTAAGGTTGTGTAGTCTGACACTCTGTATTGACATAGGAGGAGGTGGTTAACAAAAATATAGCATGCGTACTTGTGCAGTACTGGAACCAAAAAGCATAAGATATGTTATATTGTGTTAATGGAATTCTCAAGAATTATATTCTTTCTTTGTTTTTTGGTTGGTTTTTTTTCATTTTATTTTATTTTTATTGGACATTGCTAACCACATTTTTCTGCTTCTTCTCTAGGCTGTGTCTGGTTTCCAGAGAATCTTGTCTACATTAACTCTTGCAATGTTTCCCACCCTTTATTTTTTTACATTCCTTTATTATACGGACCCAGGATCAGTATTTTTTACTCTCTTTGCCTATTTAATGTGCCTTTATGGTAACCATAAAACTTCAGCGCTCCTTGGATTTTGCGGCTTCATGTTTCGTCAGACAAATATTGTGTGGGCAGTTTTTTGTGCTGGAAATGTTATTGCAGAGAAGCTAAATGAAGCCTGGAAGACAGACTTACAGAAAAAGAAAGATGAAAAGACTTCTTCCAGGAAAGGATCATTTTCAGATTTGATCAGAATATTGCAGTTTCTTATTCAACATATCATATCGCCTAAAAACTTATTTACACTTATGGCTTTAACTTGGCCATACATCATATTAGTAATGGTGTTCTTTGTTTTTGTGTTTATCAATGGTGGAATAGTTGTTGGTGACAGAAGTAGCCACGAAGCCTGTTTGCACTTTCCTCAGCTGTTCTATTTTCTGTCCTTTACTGTTTTTTTTTCATTCCCTCATTTATTGACCCCTACTAAAATCAGGAAATTTCTTCTCTCATTACAAAAGCACCCTGTGCAGTACAGCTTAATTGCCATCACCTCTTTATTCCTGATCTGGAAATTTACCTATGTGCATAAGTACTTACTAGCGGATAACAGACATTATACATTCTACGTCTGGAGAAAAGTCTTTCAAAGACATGAGCTTGTAAAATACATATTAGTTCCAGTCTATATATTTGCTGGCTGGAGTTTTGCTGATACACTAAGATCAAAATCAATATTCTGGATCTTAATGTATTTTATATGTTTATTAGCAGCCACAGTTCCTCAAAAATTGCTGGAATTCCGTTACTTTATTTTGCCATTCTTAATATATAGGCTCAATATTCCATTTCCATCTCTATATAGACAACTTCTGGAGCTGGCTTTTTATATTGTTGTGAATGCAGTAACTTTGTATCTTTTTCTAAACAGAACTTTCCATTGGCCAGATAGTGATGAAATCCAGAGGTTTATGTGGTGACTTTTTTTTTTTTTTTTTTTTTTTTTTTTTGATGCTTTCATACCCTTAGGAGAGCCCAGTTCTGTTTCAGGACTGTGGATTCTGCAATGAAGCAATATGCTTTGCATTGTGTAAGGACCTTTTTCCCCAGTTGGAATTGGGGAAGTAAGCTGTTTGCTTATTTCTTGGAACTGAATGTGAGATCTGATTTGTTGTAATGTGAAGATACTCCATATATTGAATTTATGAGCTCCTGGAATTATCAAATTCAATATGAGGGGAAATTTGAGAAATTGTGAAATAAGGGAGATGTTTACAGTCATTTTTCATTATAATAAAATATTATTATATAATATGTCTTTCAGGGTATGACAGTTTATGTTTCAGAGGTTGCTCTTTAAAACAGTATTTAAGCGTTTAACCTTTTTGTTACCTCTGGGTGCGTATTTACTCCTTGGATCAGGCCACTTCCATCTAGGTTTGCTAGTGGTCAAGGTATGAACCACTGCTAAAGTATAATGTTTTCAAAACCTTCTACGTCCCACTGAATTTTCATGATTTTTTTGTCAATATATGATTACATTGGTTTTGCAAACAGAATGAAGGCTCTTAAATCATTAGAGCATTTTGAAAATTTTATTTCAAACCTTATATTCAGAAAATATAGTGGAGGCTATCTGCATGTACCTTCTTTGGAGGAATAAATATTATTGTACAACAAAACATAAATTGCCGTTGATAATGTGACCTATTAGAAAGGGAGTAATTTATGTATGTCAAACTGAAACGTGTCATTACTCAGTGGAATGCAGTCTAATGAATACCCTTTTAAATAATCAGGCTTTTATGTCCTGAGGTTCTGTGTTCACAGGTTTGTACTGAAGTAGGATATGAGTGCACTCCCAAGTTGAACTGAGTGTTTCTGAGATCCTGGATGTGTAATCTTAAAGAAATACTGATGGCATTACTGAATCGTTCTTTTAAATGTTTTTCATATAGATATACAAATCTAATGGAACTAGGGAGTATGTATTTTGTTTTACAAAAGTAAAATACAATGTGTGTATATATATATTTTTAAAAGCATCTAGTGCATTATCATCAGAATAAATGAAGGCTGTAATGGTTCCTGTCAGTAAATGACTTTAATTAGACTAAAAAATATTTGATTGCTGAAAGTTAACTGTTAAGCAGTTTTATAAATACAACTAAATTATGTGGCAGGGAGGATCCAAAACTTCAGGTACTAGGTAGCATCTTAAAATTCTTTCTTATTCTGTAATAAAAATAGTGCAGCCCAATCTATGCAAACTTATGATATTATTGCCACTCCAGTCACTCTGAAATGGAATTGTTTCTCAGAAGGTCAGTACTGTGAAGTTATTACTCACAGCGGTACTGTTTGGTTGGGGTTTGTTTTTTTTTTTCTTTTACAGTATGCAGATCAATGCCCTGGCTCTGATCCCTTCCCTGTACTAACACTATGAAGAGTGTGGTTAACTCAGATTCTCCTGTCCGATGTTTTTGCAACCCTGTTTCTTCTAAGGAAACCTTAAAGCCACTCCTCAATGAGTAGGTTTATTTGTATTGAATTTAAGAAATTTGCCAGGTCACTGTTTGCTTCTTGGCCTGTTGCCAGCATGGTCATTTGTTGGTAACATATGTACCATAGGGAAAGCCATTTTTGATCACTCCCTGTTTGCTTATATGTAAGTTGAAGGGGCAATAGAAACCTGAAATGGGTTGCTTTTAAAGAATCCAACATGGTTCTTGCAGAGTCCAGGATGTTGTCTTGTCATTTTAGTATGACAGATTTGGGGGGGAAGTCTTGCATGCCTTCTGCTTCCAATTTTGTTTTTGTATACTATGCCAGTAAAAACATAAACAAGGTAAAGAGTATATACTTGTTTTAGTACAATTTCATTTGTGTCTTCAAATTTTAGTTCTGAGTGAGTTGAAAAGTAACATGGGAAGGGATGCGGCTCTGGCTAGAATTCTGAATTGTCTTCTAGATCTGGGTTTTTCTTCTGGCTTTATGTAGGGAAGCAGGTGTTCATTAGCTTGACAAGATGCAAAAATTCATGTGCTTAAATAGTCCACAGGTGTTTTGTTTTGTCCAGCATGTCTATTGATGCTGGTATGTGAATGCCTTGGATTATCAACATTGTTAAGAAACGGTGTTTATGCTTCCTACTTATTCTTAACAGAGATAGCAGCCATGTTTCAAGTGAAAAGAACTGAGTTTATGTATATATATACAATTGTAATGCATTTCTTCTGTAAAGAAAAGTGAAAGTCTCCCAAAATTTAGAGCACAATGCCTTTTAATGAGCTCCACATCACAACACTAGAAAGATTACATGTAGAGAGATGCTTGTGAACTGTTGGGGTTTTTGAACCAATATTAGAAGGTGGCATAATATTATATCATGGGACTTATCAGTATACTTATATATTTTAATTTAAGAGTACAATTGTTCTCAGCATATTCTGCTAATTTATAAGCAGGCTGAGTTAATAAAAGTTTAAATTGAAGAGGAAAATCCATGAATTACTGAAACATGAAGGGAGAATTTATTTTTAGAGTAAAGCTGTTTTCAGTTTTGTTGATGAACCACAGGGAGTTTGCAGGTAATATTTGATGTTAGCCTGATTTAGTCTCAGAAATCAAGATGCCAGGTGTAATTAAATCTAGATGTAAGAATTAGTTAAACATACTTTATAATCTTCGAGCAAGTATCTTTTGGAAAATTGATTTCAGTATTTCCATTGTAGTTGTTTGTAATACATTAGCTATTGATCTTAGACACGCGGAAAGGACTGTGTTTGTCCTGGGTTATGTTGCCTAGGTCTTCTAGTTTCAGTAGAACCATGATTGTTTACTTCAGGTTAATTCCTCAGCAGGTGTCATTTGGCAATGAAATTACTTACAACAGCATTAAAATGATAATTTATTGTAAATTTTATTAATTAGCTATCCATTTAGAAAGAAATCCCGCTAATTTGTTGAAATGTCCAAGATGAAAACAAAAATAGCATAGCTAACATTTCTGTAATTGCTGTTTAAAAATAAAGGCTCAGCTCAGCTTTTCTTAGAGAGAAAGAAGGTGATGATTTGTCCATAACTGTCAGAATAATAAAAATAGAGAGCTGAACAGCCACAGCATGGCTGAATTGTTTTGAGGTGGAAAAAAAAAAAAGACAAATAATTGAACACATTGGGTTTTTGTTTTAGTTAAAAATAGGTAGTTATTTGGGAAGATGGAAAGTTTGTTTGATAAATCCTATATGCTGTGAATTGTGTTTTCTGTTATTTGTGAGCGTTCTGTATTTTATGTCTTTTAAGTTACTTGACAACACATGTTCATGTTTAAAATTAGCATGAGTTTTACACTATAAGCAACATGTGCATGCTGAAGTATTTTTTTATCTGTTATTTTCGTGCAAGTAGATAAATCAGATGGGTTGCTTGTGTTAAAAATATTATAGGAAAAAGTATTCTACAGTCTCTGGGGACAGACAGTTGAGTTTTGTCATTAGTGCGGATCTGAATTTTATTTATTTTTTTTTCACAAGGTGGCAGTCTTGCACCGTCTCATTGAGGTGACCAACTGCTTAGCGTAATGCTGCTTGAAGTCATAGCGTCAGGGTTTTTAGCAAGACTATTTCTGAGAATTAGAAAACTTCAAGTTCTGTCATGGCTGGTTGCTTGTTCTAGTAACTGGTTTGGCTAAAATATCGTGGCATATAAGTTTAAATTATGTTGTATGATAAGGTTTAGAAGAAGAGCAAGTTGTGTTCATCTTTAAATGGTCTTTTTTGATATTTTTGGTATTTGTGAAATTTTCATATCTAGACTGAGAGAACAAAATGAAACCTAAAGCTTACTGTTGAAATTATGTCATTGTTTTAAACAGTGTAGTTGCTTAAAAAGTTAGCAAATTTCCTTCTGCTGTTTTATTATTAAATTTCACAGCATTCTTATTTTCTTCACATACTCATTCTGTTCATTACTGTCTAAAAAGAAAAAAAAATTGGGAGGACAAACTGAGGAAAGCAAAGTAATTATACTTTGAGACCGACACCTGCTTTTCTGAAATATTTGCTCTTTTTAATTGGATGATGCATGTATGAAAAATAAATGCTCAAGTGTCTGTTAGCCCTATAGTAGCTGGCATACTGCATTTTAAATGCGTCATTTAGTTTTTGTGTAATGGAAAAGTGTAAAGCCAGAGTCCGTGAAAATGACTGCTTCCAGTTATCTCAAATTCTTTGTCTATATTCACTGTCCAAACATTTTTTCCCTGAAAAGCTTTGCTTTCCTTGCTTACCTCTTGTTAGATAGGCTATGCTTTTTCTTTTCAATTCAGTGACATTTGTATGTCAGCCGAGGCATCTTTTATAGAAAAGCATCCTTCTTAAAAGTATGCTTTAGATGGATGCAGATAATTGGTTTTACTAACATCATTTTACAAACAAAAAGAATTTCTCCACAAGACAAATGCTAACCTAGCTAGCAACGTGTAGCTAAAATGCCCTTAATTTGTGAGGTTTTTTGCTTAATCTTGGAATATGCTCAGGGCCTCATGCTGTTCCTTCAGCTTCAGGGATAGCTGGGATATGAGGAGCAGGAAGTGAGAGGAAAAAGATGTGCACAGATAATTGCAGTAGCTAGGAGTGTGCAATGCTACCGGGAGCAGAAATGAGTGGGGTGCTCTGGGGGCTTTTGAGGCACTGCTGTGTTTAGCGGTGCACTGTGGCTTGCTGAAGTACGTGGTGATGCAGGAGAGTTCTTTGCTGTGCATGAGTGGAAATCTCTTCTCTGGCTGGAAGGTGGAGCTGCTTGTACCTAGAGCTGGCCCGATCACTGTGAGAATGATCGTGCTGAAACTTGGGAGTTAATTGGTTTATTGAAAGTTGTTTTGGTACTTAGGCTGTGGATCTGTAAATGAAAACTGTTCTTATTGTGTTCCAGAAAGGTTGTGAGCTTACTTGAATTGCAGCTGTGGGTCAGCAATGGGGAAGGGGTTGCTTTCATTATCAGGTTGTTAGTTGCCCAGATAGTCTAGCATTTTTATAAAGCAAAAGTTGCCATATCTTAAAAAATAAACACTTTTAAAACAATGGCTTCCCATGTGCTTTATATCCTGGTTTCAAGTAGATGTAAATTAATATCCCATGCATTTGATTCAAATTGGTATGAACTTGTGTTAACAGTGGCAGTGTGCGCCTTTTCAAAGATGTAATTGCAAAAGTTCCTGTCCTTAGCTACCTTCAGATCTTCTCTAATGAGATTAGATTTCCACATTTTCATATCAGCCCTCCTAAAAGTATTGTCGTAGAAATAATCTTGTGAATATACAATGCAAAAGGAATGGTTACGGTGGTTATTGCTGACAAGAGTCTCTAATTTTAGGGCACTGCTTCAGATACTGAAGTTTAATACACATAAATCATTCTCCATTTTCCTGCGTTCTCATTGAATCTCAAACAAAGCATTGCTTGGCTGAATTGAAATTTAAATTACAAGCTTCAAAACACCAAAGGAGACGCAGTCAGGAATATCACTGATTTCAGAGATAGCGCTTCCCCCTCTGGGTCAGCACTGAGCAAATGCCGTAACATTGTTTGTGGGTGGGAGTAAGCCCATCATAACTGTAGTCCTGGCAAAGAGCAGTGGGTGTTTTAAACCTAATGTTCTCTTTGTTGCATATAGGATTCCTTACTCACTGCTCTACACTCCTGTGCCGCTATAGCACTATATACTTTTCATTACTGAGAGGATTATTTTATGTTAGTAGTCCATTGAGATAGTTGTGAAGGTGGGAATTCATCTGCCAGGCATCTTGTCAAAACTAACTTCTAGTGTGTTCTACTTTCCAGAGCACAGCCTGTTTGGGCAGGGCCCTCACATGAGCTGGGGAAGCCTCGTATCCAAGATTCAGGCCAGAATGACCCATCTTTGAGCCAGTTTTCCTGGCATCCACTCTGCTAGCTGAATTTGAAAAGTTTTAGCCCAATACTATGTGTTAACTTCCTTTAAAGTTTCAAGAAACCTTGTGGAATAACCTTCGCTGTCTAGGTCCAGTCCTCCAGGAAAAGAACCAGGAACATGTCAAAGGAAAAGGAAATTATGTGATGGCTATGGTAAAGAGCTGTATCTATCCTTGATAAAAATGTACCAGTGCACATCTGCTTCAATAACAGTGAGTTTTGTTCAATTAATTATGACTAAGATGGAATTTTCTGCATTATTTCTGAAACAAGGAAGAATGCTACTTTGCTTAAAACCAAAAAGAAATTAAGTGCTTGCACTTTTCTTAAGAATTAAGAAGAAAATATATTTGGGATTTTTGAGCCATCTGTTGTCTGAGAGGAGCTTTAACTTTGCCTTCAAGACAAATACTCGTTATTTCCCTCCACCCTCCTTTACTGTGTATAAAGTGTAGGCTGCTTGAATTTTGGAGGGGGTGAAGGAGGAGGTAGCATTACGATGACCTGATCCAGCTGTTTGCCTGATAGGAAGCCACAGAACTTTATCTGGGAACTTCCACCAAGGCGGGAATTACTTTCCACATTATGTAAGTGAATCCTGTAGAGTTTAATATTTTGTAGCTGAAATGGAGCACATCTTCTGAAAATACACCCTATTTAAAGCCATCAAGTAGTGATGAATTTGCCATATCCTTTGGCAAGATTTTTCAGAGATTGTTTTTACTCATAGGAAACTTTTTTTCTCTAGTTATGAGCTTTATGCTACATCTTTGCAAATTCTCATTTTCTTCTTCTACACACACAGATACACACCATTTATACTGACATGTTCAGGTCACAACTCAACAGCCTCTTAACCTACTGGCCTACAGACACATGAGGACTCTTGTGCTCCAGATTGTTCTTCTCTTGGCTTTTTTTTCAGCATGTAAAAAAAGTATGATCACCAGAATCAAAGACTGTACAGCACTTTTGAGCTCTTCTTTTTATAGGGAAGAAGTATCATCTACCTAGATCTGTGTACCTTGCTCTGTTTGGCCAAAACAAGCTCTGTGGCAATTTGTATGGTTACCCTTAGCATGCTGGCTTCCTTGTAGGTGAGGCATCACTTTTTGACTTCTAAAGTCACGCTAATGGAAAAATCAGTCCAAAATAAACATATTAACAATTCTCATAACAACTGCTTTCATCTTTGTCAGTGAAGTGGCTAGAGATGTGCACCTCAGTCTGTAGGAATAACCAGGGAGAAGAAAGCAGGGTGAGGGCATGTGAAGTTTCATTTTGGCTGAGTGGTTTATGATTTGGATGTTTCCTGTAGAGCTCCTTAAAGTTAAATGCTTATGGAGGTAAATTTAGTTGATTGATTAATGTCTTGGTCTGTAAAGCCAGGGCTAGAATCACAGAATCATAGAATTGTTTAGGTTGGAAAAGACCTTTAGGATCATCAAGTCCAACCGTTAACCTAACCCTGCCATCCCACCACTAAACCATGGCCCTAAGCACCTCATCTGCCCGTCTTTTAAATACCTCCAGGGATGGGGACTCAACCACTTCCCTGGGCAGCCTGTTCCAATGCTTGACAACCCTTTTGTGAAGAAATTTTTCCTTATAGCGTGTCTAATCCTCCCCCGGCGCAACTTGAGGCCATTTCCCCTCATCCTATTGCTTGTTACCAGGGAGAAGAGACCAACACCCACCTGGTTACACCCGCCTTTCAGGCACTTGTAGAGGGCGTTAAAGTCTCCCCTCAGTCTCCTTTTTTCCAGACTAAACAATCCCAGTTCCCTCTAACTTCTTAGCTTGCTCGCTAACTTGAGTAGCTTGCTGTTGTATTGAGAGGTTGGCTGTGGTTGCCTTGAGACACAATTTCTTTGCGGAGTTTGAGAGCACAAGAATTTTGCTTTTCTGTCCAGTTTGAAATAGAGGTATTCAGACTATGGGAATGGGGTGGCTCTGGAAGGATGCCCTCTTTCCTTTTCCTCAGGTTGACTAAAACAAATTTCAGTTGCCCTGATGGGGCTCTGAATACTCTCTAATCCATGGAATCAGTCCGCTTGAGGGCAAGAGGGCTGTAGGCTTTGTTTTAATACCCTGTCAGTTCAGCTAACTTTGCAGGAAGCCTTTGATTTCTAAAAACAAATTAACACCACCACCAAAATTGGGGGGCACATTCCTCTTGCACTTTCAAATCCTGGCTTTATAATTAAAACTTTTTTGTGAATAAAGCATCTTTCTGGAAAATAAATGCCAATCCTACTAGCAATTAAGGCTTCTATAAACTTTTAGCATACAATTATGGCAAAGATCAGTTAATGTAAGTTTGTGACTGAATCTGAGTCAAAGATGTTTAACACCTGCAAAGATTCTACCTTGCTATTTAAGTCGCACATAATAGAGTACACAATGCTCTTGAATTTTCTTGCCCGTCATTTTGTCAGAGAATAAGCAAACAAACAAGAAAAGCCTTTAAAGTCAGTTACAACATCATGATAGTCTGCAGTTACTTGGCAAAACACTAGCGTGTCAAAATCAGCTTGTAGTGAACGCCTTTCCTTTAGCAAAGAGCTTTAAAAGACTTCTTCTAATTTTTGCTGTGATGGGTCTCATGATAAGTGTTCTTCAGCCCTTTTTGTGTTTTCTTTCATAATGCAAGATCCTCTTTCCTGGATTTGGCTTTACTGGCTCTTAGATGAAAAAATTGATTTGGGGGTCTTTTTTATTAAGTTAAAGCAGTGTATATGTGTATGTGAGTAGTGAAAAGTACTTGGACCAAATGGACCTATACTCTGCCGTGAAAATGCAGACAGCAGTACGCATTGACAGAATACATCCAATACTTTTGTTTTCTCATTAAATCTAGCATAAAGTAAGCAGGGTAATTTGGTATCAGATTTAACCTTTCACATTGCTCTGAAAGTGTGCAGACATTGACAATTTCTTTGGTGCTTTGAACGTATACTTTCAAGGCAGCGTTGAAGAAGGTAATCACAATCTCACTCTCTTTTCCATTATGCACACACTAAGTTAATTGAAAATGTAGTAAGTACAACTTCATGAGATGGATCTATTTTCATTTCAAGACTGCATTCTCCAAGGACAGTATCTGGAGGATCTAAATCAACAGGAACTACACACTAAAGAACTAATAATGCCCTCTTGAAGCACTTCAGCTGCACACTCTCAATCTTGCAACCTGAAAGAACCTTAAAGATTTTTGGATTTGGTATATTCAGTAGAAGGCATGATGATAAAAAATAAAATAAAACTTGCAGCTGTGACTACTTTTTTGCAAAGCTACGGTTTGATGTTTGCAACAATGAAACAATGCAGGCAAATGCCAAACTGAAAAGATTTTTTTTGTAACAGATTTTCTCTTGCCAGCTTGTATATGGTAGAAAGCAGCTGTGCACCAAATCTGAAAAGGTAGGATCTAGTTGTGCAGGTGCTCATCTGCGTTTTTATGGTCCTAAAGATCTTTATAAATCTGATCTTTTTCTTTGAACCTTCATGAGGACTTCTGTATTTTGAAAACAAATAAGAGAACAAAGTGAGGGGTGTGCCTGGTGGGTCGTGTGGGGGAGAAGAAAGATAAAAGTAATGCTGTGTGTGTTTGCAGGGAGCTTGGGCCAGGAATGAAGTCTGTGGTAATGGCAACCCTACTTCACCCTGCCCCCTCAGCCTCCCTTTCCATCCCTCTCTTGGGTGGATGAACCCATCATAGACTGTTCCTCTTCTTCCTTGGCTGTTCTTCCTTTGGTGCCACCCTCTCTTCTGCACATAAGTGCATGCCACAGGCTATCTGCAGTTTTAACTGCCTTTGTCCTGGCCACCATGGCAAGCTGAGACTGTTCTTTGCCTCATTCTTGCTGCTGAAAAACAAAACTCAGCACTCATTCAGGCAAGGATTTCAAGAAATCTAAACGTAGGCTGTACTTATCATCAGCTTGGTGGGATGGCACCAAAAAGACTTGCTTGGGAAAAGAAAGAATGTGTGATAATCCTACCCTGGCTGTCGGAATTTGCAGAGGGGGAGTTCTGCTTCTCTTGATTTCAATAGATGTAGTAGGGCCTCTCCAGATGATTGATCCTTTTTAGCTAGGATGAGCTAATGGCCCTTTTCCTTGTCCGAAGATAATGGTTACAAAGCAACTGGACTCAGCAGACCATATTGCTCTGCCCTCAAGAAGCATTAAAGACAGCCCTAAAATTACGCGTCAGTATCAGCATCTGCTCAACCTGGAAGTGGGTGGCTCATTAGCAATCCAAAAGCCAAAGGTTGCTTTTTGATGTTTTCTGAACTAATAAACTATTTGACTCTCATTTGAGCTAATATAAATTGTGTCACTAAATCATCTATGGAAGATGTTTTCAAAGGCACAAATGCCAGAAGGACTCCCTGGGAAACGGTCCTCAGGGACAGGGGAACAGAACAGAGCTGGAAGATCTTTAAGGATGTGATCCACAGCGCACAAGAGCTCTTGATCCCTAGGTGTAAGAAATCAGGCAAGGAAGGGAAGAGACCGGCATGGCTGAGACAAGAGATGCTGGCCAAACTAAGGAGGAAGAGGGAACTGCACAGGCAGTGGAAGCAGGGACAGGCATCCTGGGAAGAGTACAGGGACGCGGTCCGGTTGTGTAGGAATGGGGTCAGGAAGGCCAAGGTGCAGCTGGAGCTAAACTTGGCTAGGGATGCAAAGAATAATAAGAAGGGTTTCTACAGGTATATCAGCCGGAAAAGGATGGTTAAAGAAAGCGTACCCCTGCTGATGAGCAAGACTGGCAAGCTGGTAACAGCAGATGAGGAGAAGGCTGAGGTACTCAATGATTTTTTGCCTCAGTCTTCACTGGCATGGCAGTCAGGTGAAGTCCCTGGTGACTGGAAAAAGGGAAACATTGTGCCCATTTTCAAAAAGGGTAGAAAGGAAGATCCTGGGAACTACCGACCTGTCAGCCTCACCTCTGTGCCTGGGAAGATCATGGAACAGATCCTCCTAGAAGTTATGCTAAGGCACATGGAGGCCAGGGAGATAATTCCAGATAGCCAGCATGGCTTCACCAAGGGCAAATCCTGCCTGACGAACCTAGTGACTTTCTATGATGGTGTGACAGCAACAGTGGACAAGGGAAAACCAATGGATGTCATCTATCTGGACTCCTGCAAAGCCTTCGACACGATCCCCCACAACATCCTTCTCTCTAAATTGGAGAGCTATGGATTTGATGGGTGGACTGTTCGGTGGATAAGGAACTGGCTGGCTGCTCGCATCCAGAGGGTAGTGGTCAATGGCGCGATGTCCAGATGGAGACCGGTGATGAGTGGTGTCCCTCAGGGATCTGTACTGGGACCGGTGCTGTTTAACGTTTATGCCTTTATTTTTTCCCTGCATCTTGTGGCAAAAAAGCTTTTTTATAAAGAGAAGTGCTAATGATGTAGAACCAGCCTTGTTCTCTCATTTGATACTTTATTTAATTTGAAACACTTAAAAATTACTTTGGATAAATATATTTCCAATAAATATAACCCAACAAATAATTATAACCAGTGTTTTTGAAGGAAAAGTGTTGGATAGTCTCTTTTCTTCGTAGGTTTTTAAAAAAATACAGGTCCTCATAGGTGGAAAGATGTTAAACTGAAGATTAATCATTAATGATAAAAGAGACTTTCCTTTAAAATAGAGTTGTAAAAGTTAACCGTTACATTTTGGCTCTACTCACAAAACACAGATTGGTATTATTCCCATCTTGGACAGTAAGAGTCAATGTCTCCTAATTCCTGCTTTTCCTCTTAAACCTTCCCTTTATCGTTCAATTTAAATACATCATTTGCAAATAAAGCATAAATAAAAGTGACTTCATTTCATTTCTAGACAATGAAAAACCCAAAGTGGGTAAATGAAGAGGAGAATCCAGGGTACTAAGTATTTATTGCCAGCGCTCTTTTAAGTTTCCAAATTTTTAGCAAGATGCTTGCTTCCTTCTGCCTGAAGAGGTCCTTCACGAGAGTGAGCGGTGGTGCCGTGATGGTGCTCAAGAAGTCAAGGCATCCATTGCAATACTTTCTGTATTTCCTGAAGAGCTGAGCTCCCATCAGCTGAGCCCAGACTTTGGCTTTTCTCACCATATGCCTGATTTGCGCCCCTGTCACCCTGATTTGGGGAAATCACCCATTTGGCTTTTTTATAGTAGCTGCTGATCTGATCTGGCATACTGCGCCATCGTAGCTAAGCGCTGGTCAGTAACACAGTCTGTTACTGGAACTGGGGCAAAACCAGCACCTGAAAATGAGTCACTTGGTGGTCTCATGTGTAACTCTGGGGCTTGTATCAGGGCTCTACAGCAGCTGAGGATGGTGAGGAGTGCAGCAAACCATTGGAAAGGTTCAGGCAAGCATTTGGTCACATTTATAGGTGAATGAAGCTACCGAAAAAC